GAATAACTAACTAACCCATTAACCTTTTCGATGTACAAGAAAATTGCTGCAATATATGTTTGAAAGTGTCAAGAAGGTGTAAACAGTTTACAAGTACCTAGGGACACTCTTTCAGTGTTTCTGACAAATTATTCATTTCTGTGATTGGAAATAAACGCCGGGGGGGGGGGGGGGGGGGGTTCCCAAATTTTGCATGCCCTTAATAGCAGAGAAAGAATAAGTCGCCTTCTTTTAGGTAAAAAATGTATGCTACAGTATTATGATGTTTTCCATGCTAGCTTTGGCCTGTAAATATTGGGGTTTGTATAATAGAAAAATTACACTAATTGTCTTTCACATATTACTGATGTAAAGTTTTAGTTCCTTAGAATTAAAATGAAAGATTTTAATTCCTAACAAATAAAAAGTGCTCTTTTTTTTTTGTCATTTGTCACCTTTTTTGTTAAAATTTGGTCAGAGTAGATCACGAACCCATTACATGAATAATTTTTGAGGGGCAAATTTAGTAACTCATTTAGTGTTGATCTATTTCTTACCTCATCCACTATTTCTCCCAATTATTCTCCAAGTGCCAAACTAAGGTTCCGTTTGATAACACTGAATCTGAATTCTGAATTCTGAATTCTGAATTCTGAATACTGAAATAATTAATTTGCTGAATTTTAAGCACTGAAAAGAGATATATGAATGTCTGAATCTTAATGCTGAATCTATTTATACTATTTGATAAATATTCATAATTTAATGCTTAATAAGCTAGATTGTACAATTTTGCTCTTCTATCTTTTAATCCAAAAAGGAAATAAAACCTATGATTTAATTAACTTAAAATTGTTAGGTATGAAAATGACAATGATTGTGAAGAGCAATGCATACAATGACAATGTTTCTTTGTGTGGGAAAAGGGTATGGTTTCATCGTTTTGAGAATGGGAAAATGAGTTTTTAATACTCTAAAAGCACGTTCAATTACATTTCTCAATCTTGCATGTGCTTGGTTAAAGCGTTCTTCTTTTGATCTTGGATGAGAAGCATTTCGAAAATCAGACAACCAATATCTAATATTTCGATATAGTGTCATAAAGCCACGTGTGTGTGGATAAGCTGCATCACATAAATAATATTTATCTGTACAAAAAAAATATATATCAAAATATAAATGTTTGTGGATGAAAATTACTGCCAAAAAATACTATTGTTAAAAAAAATTTTTGAATAGAGAATATCACGTTGTTTTGTTTAATTAGATAAGGATTTTGAATAAGGAATATTAGGTTGTTTAATTAGATAAGGATTTTGAATGTAATTAACAAACATGAATATATTTGGTAGATAAGATAAAGTAGTTGAAGTAAATCTCTTGATTCTTATCAAATTAAGCATTCAGCTACGATTCTTGTGTTGAAAAAAATACATACAAATTCAGCACCACTTAATAAGTTCAGCAGGTGAATTTTTATTTATCAAACACCCACAACTTCTGAATATCTGAATGAATTCAGTTTCAGCACTTTTTTATGTTATCAAACAGGCACTAACTAAAATGACACAATTTCAGTAAAACTTCATTCTTTACTTTCTTTCGTTTTCTTTTCGTTTTCCTTTTTTTTTTTATCATCTCCTTCCTTCTATTTTCTTGCAAAGCTCACAAGAGCTACCATACCAGATTCCGGCAACATCTACAATAGAACCACTGTATATCGCCATCTTGTACTCGCAAAATTCTCTCAAATTATTACTTTCTACTCGATTTGACAAAAATGACCAACATGAAATATACAATACCAGTAAACCCCCAAAATCACCCATATAACCACAAGAATCAACAAAGTAACAGCAAATGTTTGAAACTTAACAAAACCATTTCCATGGCTTTTAAAAATTAAAGGGCGAAAGAAATAGATCTATTTTCAAGACCCATAAGATGGGGAAAGAAAAGGAGGAATGAGGGAGAAAGGGAAGAGGTGGCGAGAAAGGAGTGAGAAGGGGACAAATGGCAGTGGTAACAGTGATGAAAATGGAAACGGTGTGGAAGGACGGTGGTGGAAGAGAAAAATGAGTGATGTTGATTTGGGTTTAGGTAGAGAATAATTAGGAGAAATGGAAGATTAAGTGAGAAATTGGTTCAATGTTAAATGAGTTACCAAATTTAACTTTCAAAAATTGATCATGTGATTGATTCGTGACATATTTTGGCAAAAATTGGCCGAAAAGGTGTTAAGGGATTAAAAGTGAGTGTTTTTTATTTGGGTATAATTAAAATCGCTTATTTGAATTTTGAAAGACTAAAATTTCATATCAGTAATATGTGAAGGATGATTGGTACAATTTTCTGTATTAAATTTTAAAAAAGGACATTAAGGGGCATTGCCTTGCTATTACAAGTTTTTGTGTTCTAAAAATTAAATTGTAGAATTTACTACTTAATTAAGGACTTGTGCTTCAGTGTCAAGACCAGGCGAAAAATCCACATCAATGTTGATCTTAATCAAATTAGTTCTTCGTTGAGTGGAAGAATCAAAGGCTTTTCAAGGAAAAATATCATAATTTTATCAATGTTTTTAAACCTGGACCGGAGAGTGAGCCGGAAAACCTTCCGGTTCACGGTTCGATCGGTTCAACTGGTTCAATTCCAGTTCAAAGGTTTAATAAGTTTTTATTTATTTTAATATTAAAATTTTTGAATAAAATAAAGTATTTATTTTAGAAAATAAATACTTAATAAAAACCGGTTGAACCTCCCGATTTTTACCGGTTCAATCGGTTTTGACCGTTTTAATTACTTTTTTGAGTTTTTAATTAAACCAGACCGGAGGCATGGTTGATTTGCGGTTTAACCGGTCGAACCGGCCAATCTGGTCCGATTTTCAAAACATTGAATTTTATTGATATGCAGGACAATTTTACGAGTGTAGTACTCATGTTCAAAGGAACATAATACCCAATCAGTTGTCGAAGTAAACAAGAAAAAAAATACAGAAAATACTATTAAAAGCATCTAAACTACAGTCCAGACTCCATTGCCAAATCTTTGTCTTAAGGTAGCCCCAAATAATTCACATGTAGTCTTAATTTTTCATTATAAAATGAGGATTAAATATTTTCACACTTTTTCGATTTCACTGGGTTTTCCTTTCCACTCCTCCATATATAAAGTATTTTTAAAAAATAATAGGTTTCATTCAATTAATAATAGCATTTAGACTTGTTGAACTATCTTCCCTGAAATAGGGAAAACAAAAAAGATTCAGTTACCGATCCAGATATACTTAGATGTTTAGTCTTATTAGAATATATTGAGTTTGTTTTTGTATCCTACATCGAAAGTTTATAAAGAAATATCTCCTCGTGGTAGTTATACATATAGTGAATTTAAATGAGTTTAATTATGTTAAGGGTACTAGCTCAAGAGAATTTTAAGGGGTTTATGCCCTAGTCTAAGAGATATTTTAGCTAGGCATCAAATCAAAAGAGCAAGTTATGGGCCTTTGAACCGTTAAACATTTTGTGCTATTTAAATTCTTTTGTATTTTCACTTTTAGGTGTCTTTTGGATTTAGAAATTATTTCCTAGGTTTTGTATTCTCTCTTTTGTACTTTATTTTGTTTTCTGTTATAGTATTTTCTAGTTATTATTTGAATTATCAAAAACCCTATTATTCTCATTTGTCTTATTTGTCAATTTCCTAGGACCAGAGCTAATAGAATAGTACCTCACTACATTGCCAACTGTGGTGATGAAGTTTTGTATTAGGCTGAATTGAGTGCTATAGATTTCACTTGATACAAGGATGCTACTAAAGAAGTACAGTACCATAATTTGTCATGAAGAAGAAAAAAATAGTCAGTATACTGGCTTTGCCTTCAAGAAGGAGTTCACTTAAGCTCTTGGCAGTGTGAAACCGCATGAAAAGAAAACCAACCTTCCAAACACTTTGGTTCTATACTTTGATGTGTTATCCTTTCAAAAAAAAGAATACTTTGATATTAAACTAGCTTTAGGACCAGTTAATGACTATTGGTCCACTTTTCAGTAGTAGTATTTGTAGCAGCATTGGCATCTTGTTGGATGAAAGTAATTGATACTTTTATGCAAAATGGAGATGTGGCTGTTATACAAAATGATTACATCTATACTTTTAAGAATTATAATTGGTCAATTCTTCAAAGTATTGAAGGGATGCCATCCACTAGTATGTTGAATAGTTGCTTCTCACATAAACAACAAATCAACATGTTTCTTGACAAAAGACTGATACTAAATCCGTGCATTTTATGAACAAAGAATGTAAAAATTATGTTGTTGAAAGTGACATTTGCAAGTGTAATCATGAGTAGGCTAACACACACATCTTTGTCGCAATTGCTAAAGGATTCAAATTCACAGATAATCTTCTATTTTAGCTGGAATTTTTATTGCACATGACGCTATCAATGGAACTGTTTCTATGCTCAAACAAAAAAAAAAATCTTATCAATACTAAACATCAGCAAAATTAAGGAATTTATTATGGCCATTGACCACAACAAAAAACGGTGCCACCATGAGAATACTGTACTCATTATTAAGGAGGAAAAAGCCTTAACTAGTTAGGACAATCCCGTGGTAGTATGCTCTTATATAATCATCTCTCCGAGAAAAATGATACAAAATAAGCTAAGGCATCTGGTTTTTGTTCTCAAATTCCAGTGATGGGGAAAAATAACTCAAATATTTAAAAAGAAGAAGAAGAAGGAGGAATCTAGTTCTATGATGTCTTCACATCTTTCGTTTAGTGGCACAGAAAAGGAGCATTTTTTTGGGATTATCATTATCCTTTTTCAAATCTCAACCAAATCAATCATGCAAAGGAAATGGATGGCAAGAACAATAATAATTGGAATAGTTAAGAGGGAGGACTAAAGAAATGCCTGTATAAAAGTCAGAAAACTTGGGGGTGGGGGGGTGTTGAGGGGGGGCTGAAGACAATGTCCTTTCTTATAGTTTAGTAGCTTGGTCCAGCAGTGACATCACAACAATACCAAAAATTAATGCTTGGTAGTACTAATTGTGCATTATTTTCTCTAAACAAGCCCAAGTTGGGCATGAGGAGAAAAGTGAGAATCTATGGCAAAGTTAGTTTTAGAGAATCATGACAGCCATTACCCTAACAAGATCTAACGACTGATGCTACCCCTACTACTTAAAAACTTTAATTTCTCTGGAAATCCTTGAAATACTCTCCAGACATATGATTGCTAATCTCCAACTGAAAGGACTTAAGCATAGATTTTTACTGGAGAAATGGACCATGGTACTAAATCCTTTCCGGGTGCAAGTTCATCGTCTAAGGAAATCAACGGTGAAGAATTCACCCTAGCCCGTACCAGGGCTAAAGAAGATCAATATGGGAAGGAGAAGCATTACGTAGGCGTTCGAAAGCGGCCATGGGGCAAGTTTGCAGCTGAGATAAGGGATTCTACAAGAAATGGAATGAGGGTTTGGCTTGGAACATTTGATACTGCAGAAGAAGCTGCCTTGGCTTATGACCAAGCTGCACTTTCGATGCGAGGTCCAGTGGCTGCCCTTAATTTTCCGACTGAAAGGGTCCATGAATCCCTTCAAGAAATGGTTCTTTTTAGCTGTGAAGATGGTTTATCACCAGCTGCTGCCCTGAAAGAGGCACACAAGATGAGAAGTATGTCCAAACGTAGAGGCAAAAGGAAACAGCTGGTCAAGGGAGATGATCTGGTGGTGTTTGAAGACTTGGGACCTGATCTGTTGGATGAGCTCTTATCTGAATCTGAGAGTTCTGGATGTAAGTGAATCTCACATTTGCTGTAGTTAATATCCCATCCCTTCTTTCGTTTTCCTCTCTCTCTCTCTCTCTCTCTCTCTTTTGGGGTCCCTATTTCGCTTCATCGACCTCTATTATTTTCTCCCGGTGAATTGGCAATGAATCCGTATATCATCTGGTTCCACACTTCGACCAATTTGTTTGAGTCTAAATTACTCTGAGATTAATGTGTCCTGGAGTAGGTTCTTTTAATCAATCAAGGACTCGTTGATATTCTCATATGATTATAAGCTAATGAAATAAGGAAAAGCTCTCTTCATTTTACCCTTTTCATTATTTAATTTGCAGCTTATCAATCTCCAGCTCTCTTGACGGTAAACAAAGTGCTTTAGTGATTTTGTATGGTATTGACCTTAGGCCCATAGTACAGAAGCACCGTTTGTTTTTGTCAAAAGTTTGGCATATAGGAATTATTTTTTCAACTTCACACTGTGTGTAGCAAACTTCAGGTACTGTTTGATGATGGTTATGACAGTTTCATCTCATTTTTCTTTTCCTAACTATTTTAACTCTTTGTTTTCGAACGTAGTATTCATGTAACTGTGTCTGATTATATTGATATTTTCATTGTCAAATCCCGATTTTTCTTTTTGGGTTGGCCTTAACTCATCTGATATTTCCACAAATTGTATACGAACTTGGTGTTGATGACGTCCAATTAAGTTTTAGCACTGTTACAAACCCACCACCGCTTGGCTCAGACATTTTGTGTCGAACAGCACCTTATTCCAATAATTTCTTCTGATAGTTGGACATAAATAGTGCACGAGTCCATCAATAACTTTTCCCCTATATTTGCTTTTTTGTTTTTTGGGGTATCTATTTAGGGCCATTTTAGACTTAAATCCAAGAACTACCTTGGCTTATAGGTACACTAATTACATAATTGTGAGATCTTTAATTCAACTCCTAAATTCTCCTCTTTCCTTTTCCTCTTTTACATCATAAGATTTGAAATATCTCTTCACTCAAAACAAAGTAGCAGACTTAAATTAATCTAGTCTTTTCCTTTTGAATGATATTCAATGTCTAGTTACAACAGTGGCGGAGGCAGCTATGGGCAATCTGGAGCAATGGCCCCCTTAAGTTTCAAAAATTTCTTTCAATCCTTGCTCAGCTTTGGAAAATTTTGTAAGAAGTCCTTTTCTTGCTGCCTAAAATTTTTGATATATATAATACCATATGCTACCCCTATTTTCTTAACTTTTGCCTTCAAGAAAATTTTATTGTGACTTTTGCTCTTATTCACAAGTCCCCTCCCCCATCCCCAAAATGGTACGTTACTGGCTCAGCCACTTCTATTGGGGTTCCAATTAGAAATGACCGTGAAAAAGTTTCTCTAGAATTTCCCTTTACCCACCGTTTCATTAGATAAAAAAAACTCTTGGCTGCTTTGCAACGTTACTGATTCAAAGGAGTTGCAATATTAACTTTTTCTGGTAACTCGATGTGGAGCATATTTGTACAAGGAAAAGTTGAGGCACGAAAGTAATCTACATAAAGTTCTTTTAGGTAAATTAATTAATATTGAGAAACTTGCTTTCTTAATTACTTCTTGTCCGCATAGCTCTTTAGTTGCTGCTTTGCTGTTACATGTTTATTGAGAGCTTATACTAGTCTGTAAGCACTCCATTCTCAAATCAAAATTTTTAACTTTTCGTCCAATAAAATTAAAAGAATACTGGGCAACCATTCACTATGAATGTGAGAGGTTTAAGGGGTGCTATAGATCCAATTATACGAAGTCCCTAGTTCCTATCTGGAGCCATCTTCAGTTGCCTCAGTTCGAGCCAATTATTAGCTTTAAACGCTCTTAACTCCAGTAGTTTTCCAGAACTAATGAGATGTAGCAGACAGATTAAGCTAACTAATGGAAAGGTGGTTTTCTTTTTATGTGTTGATTATTATATTTAAGACCTCTATCTAGTGACTAAGGTTGAGACTTAGGAATTACATGTTTTGGATTCTAATCTTCTTTCTCCTCCCGCTTCTTAAATCTCACCTTTCTCCTACTGAAAAATTTTTTTCATGAAAAAAAAATTAAGTACCACTAATTAATCGATAACTGTGATTTCTTGCATGGATTATTACAACCAGTTTACAGGTAATATCATCGTAAGATTTTTTGAAAATTAAGTTGTTCTGCCTTGATTACAATCTTTCCAATTGAAAATCTGTGTAAATATTGAAGTCTCACTTGCAGTAGGATAAAGGGTCGGATTAATTTTAGTTTCCTATGGCAACATGCAAATTAGCTATTACGACTAGTTGGTTCTCTTTCACTTTGTTTTTTGCTCCATACATGGTATCTCAGAAAATTTTGACAGCAACAGCTAGATTTAATTATAGGTTTACAGGTCCATTTAAATCTACGAGCTGAAAGATTTGCTTACAAATATGAGTTTAAAGATACTAATTACAGTAATATTTTAAGAATTAACATGTCTCCAGCTTTAAATTTTGTTCCCCACTCAATTTGTTATTATCCTGCCGAAAACGGACACATCTATTTTATAAGATAATAGGTGCTAAGTGAGGATACATTGTGCTGAGTTTTGTCTGAAAAACGAAAATCAAGAATCGGTGAGCAAACAATTGGCATTTGACTAAGGAAAAGTGAGCCAGCCGCCGTATCTGAGAGTAGCACTTGTATTTTGTAACCTGTGTGAGTTAGTCACATAACAATTGGCTGATGGTCCAAAACAATTCTGTGTGCCTCTCCATTGAGAAAAATATATTGGTTTTGCTCATAGCCAACTAACTACAATGTATTTCGTGCTCAGCCACCTCAGTTGTTGTTGTCCGTTGTCTTTCAAGGTAGCTATGAAATTTAAAGGTGCAGGACAGATATTCACTGGCGTTGCATCCAGTACTTTATACAAGTTTAATTACTACAACTTAGCATTGCTTGTATAAGCAAGATTTGACTGGTAAAAACAAATTACCTAAAAAAGCATAAAGCTTGGGATTTTTCCCTTTAATTTTTTTAATAAGTGAAAAATTTTAAATCCAAAATCTTTTACTTGCAATTCCTTTCATCTTATCACCAAACTCAACCTTCCTCCCAAAACTTGGGATTTCTTCAACCTGAAACTTCAACGTTCTCTCTAATAAACAGTGGAATACTAAACATATTTGGTTTGGTGGAGCGATGAATACATTTTCTTCATAATTTTTGTGTAGTTAATTTATAGTAAGGATGCCCTCCTTAGGCGTATACCCATTGCATTAGTTTATTTAAACATCTAGTAATTTAGAATAAAATTCTTAGTCAATGGAAGAATTCACCATCCAAATGGATTTTACTTGAAAGGTTTAAGTCTTCGAATGGAGATGCAGAAACTAGCAAAGGTTAAGTTACACATGCTTTTTTCAGAGAGGTTTTCTATTTGCCGTGAATAATGCACATGCACCAAGTAGTGGAACTTTCAAACTGAAAAGTACATATGTGCTTGCTAGGCCTAATAACATGATTCCACCAAGACGTTGAGATTTCCATCTAAAACCCTTGGCTTTTGAATATCCAATAGGAAGTCTAGTCCGGACGTGTTATCAGCCAATGCATCTTCTTGCTACCCCATTTTTTTTTTTACAATATCGATGTCAAGAATCTGACCTTCGTCACGGACAACTATCATTTACTCCCTCCGTCCCATTGAAAGTGTCATACTTTCCTTTTTGACCTGTCCCAAAATGAATGTCACTTACCACAATTGACAATGAAAACTTTCCCCCATTTCCATCTCATGCCCTTAAATAAACCAGATTCTTTTAAGCTTTTGATGGGTCCCAAAAAATTACAAGAATTGCACTTAATACGCGTGAGTTCCACAACAAATGCAAACAATGGTCATGCAAGGTACTTTTCCAAAAAACGGTTGAAGACATTCTTGAGGCATGGGTCCCACAGGTCTTGTCACCACTCCATTGTCTTTCCGCTAGTCAGTCAGTTATACTCCATAGAAACTGAACAAGGGTATTGCTGGAAGTTGCACCAAAATCATTTGAAATCTTGGCACTGTTCAAAATAAGCACAAGACCCGATAATTATTTCAGAATGGAGGGCGTATTTGAATTGAGTTATCAAATAAGGTATAGTTGAAAATTTTTTATTTGATTATGTAATGTTGACAAGATTCTAGGCTGGACATTTGGTGCGCACTTCAATGGCCTACTTCATTCCACTTTTGGGCTGCCTTGGCCTGTTGGACTTGTAAGATCAGAAATCGGCTGTATACTGTTTACAGTGCAGCAATACGGATGGAGTCCTATCATCGATCCCTAAATGAGGCTAATGCTTGCTTAAAACTGTCAGAACATTTTGGGTTTGGGCTACAGCCTGCGGTTGATTTTCAATAAGACACGAAATAACTGTTGGATCCAATCAAGCCCCTTGTAATTTTTTGGCAGGAAGAACTAAGAAGAAGGTGAAGGAGAATTTGTTCAGGGAGAGAGAGATCCAATTACATCCAACAACTTACTTGAGAACTTGTTTTACACATCTTTGAGACCCCGATTTTGCATGCAACTAATTGGGACTTATTTAGGTATGTTAATTGAAAGTTAATACTTTCTTCTGTCCTTGGACTCAATTTTTAATCCCAGAAACATGAAATATAGACAATTTGTTCATATAAAAAAAAAAGCTCTATTATACTTTTACATGTTACATTTGGAAATATCATGAAAGAAAGAATGGCATTAAGTGGATGCTCTATAAATAATTATTGTCAACCCTTGCAAAGTGAAGTAAAAGATTTGTTAAGAACTCCGTCTCACAAATATTATCGTGTACTTATCTCATTCGCGATATTTTGCGAATTAGCCATAGATAAGCAGTGAAAAGAGTTTTTTTTTTCTTTCAGCGACACAATTATACACGGAAACTTAAATATCTGTACTGTTCCTACTTTATCCTCCTATTCAAGAGAAATGGATAATCCAATGGAATTGTATAAGGAATTAGAATCCGATAAAACTCTAAATTAAATTCAAGAAATACACGACTAACTAGTACGCTCCTATGAACCCTTTTTTTTTTTAAAATTGTAAGTGCAAGTTTCAAATGCAGTCCAGGATAAATCCCTTCTTCTAGTCTAGTGTTTAAATTACCAAAGTCAAGTTACTTACTTCTAGTTAGATTAGATTCTTTATACAAGTCCATATAATGTCATTCCAACTCGAAATCAAGCTTCAATGCGTGGATCGTCATTGGCTCATGGTCATCTTGTCTTAAATGGGAGTCCCTCGTGAAAGAAGCCTGGCATCATCATCCTCCACAAATTATGATGTCTATTTCCTGGTCAATTCACAAACCAACTTCAAGAAAATATGCATAGACTATGATCTTAGGCCCATGGCGCAATCTGATTTTAAATCCTCCGCACTGCGCCATTGGGACAATTTCCCCACATATTGGAGAATCTAATGCCAAGAAAACAGCAACTCCTAGGCATATACCACTCCAAAGTTGGGAGTAGGACCAACTTATCCTCAAATATGCCACACATGTCACAGTTAATTAATCAAGATAAAAGCACTAAAGCATCTGAATATTTT